ATGCACACTCCCCGTGATGAGAGCCTGAGCATGCACGTCATCCGTAGCCAAACCCCGCACGTACTCAAACGCATCTTCTACACTTGGAAACACTTTTACATTGGTCCTAGGGTTGGAATCGAGGGAGCGCCATTTCTCTGCAAAGGCGTTTTGCATCGTGAGTTCGGATATTGATTTCGGGTCGTAGGAAAGGTTGACGAAATCTGGTGGGGTTAGTATATTTCATTCGTGCTGGTGCTGGTGTGGGTAGGAGTGATTACCTTTCTTGGAAGCATTTTCTTTCTGGATTGAGGTGGTGCAGAATATGACGTGGTCGAATTTTACTGATTCTTGAGTTGCGCTGTAGAGTCCCTCGAGTAATCCGATGGCTTCACGATGGCCTTGTTGATTGAAAATCAGGACTCGTGGTCCATTTCTGATGCAAGTTAGAGATATTAGCTCAATAATAAGGGGTAAACCTACTTCTTGGCTACCTCGTCACCAAACCATTTCGCTGCGACTATGATACTATCTGCTGTATGTGCCCCATCCAAATACCAGGTAACATTCCCATCGACCTTTGTTTCACATCTCCCACGCCAAATGACTTGCTCTAAAGCATCTACGAATTCCTGAGGTAAAGAATCGGGGGATGTGCTGAATTTGGGATCCAATTTCTTTAGGGCTGTTTCGGCTAAACATATGGCAAGACTTGCGTTCCCCCTCTGAAAATCTGCAGCCGGTTTTATTTTCACTGTCTTCAGCCTTGGGTCTAAATCGACTACCTTGAAAGACTTCACGACTTTCTCCGCCGCTCTCTTCTCTACCACTTCCATAGCTTCTGCCCTTTGCTTCACTGTAAATGATGGCACTCCTGCCTTCTGAATTCCAGCTTTGTGCCATGCAATTTTGTCAATCGTTTCTCCCAGTGTAAACACATGATCGATTCCCAGCGATGATATACCCGTCACAGCCGGTCGATCCACAATATTAGTCGAATCATATTCGCCCCCAACTCCCACCTCATAAATGGCTGCATCAACGCCCTCCTGGAGAAAAACGTGATAAGACATCAAATTTAAGTATCTGAAATAAACAGGTTTTTCGAAGGGTACGCTCGAAGAAGCTGCAGCGGCTTCAAGACGATCCCATACGTCGAAAAAGTATTTCGCGAATAGAGGAGCGGATAGAGGAGCTGAATTGATCCGGATTCTTTCCCGCACGGCGATGAGATGCGGAGATGTGAAAAGTCCAACCTTTTGGGGGAGATCATGTGACTTTCTATAACGATTCAGAATGGAATCAACGTAGGCGCACGTTGAACCTTTTCCTTTGGTACCAGCAACGTGGACGATGTTCAATCGTTCGAGATCATCTTGCTAGGCGTGAGTCAGTAACGAAAAGATGGGAAGAGGGGTTAGAAAATACAGTGTATCCAATCCGAGACAAGTGTTGTCTCATTTCTTGATTTGCACCTTCATCAAGTTTGATACCGGCTTCCCATCGTTTCTTGAGTACTTCATAGGGCGTTTGAAGTGTATTCAAAGCATTGATTGCATCCTAACCGATGGTGAGCGAAGAAATCAAGTGTATAGCAATTTCATGATATGACGAACATCGTAGGTTCTTTCTGCCATTGTGGCAATCAATCTCCGCGAATTTTGGGCGCATATATTATTGAGAGAATGGGGATATGCACTTCTTAAGGATCGTAGAGATAATCTATGAGGAGAAAACCACATTACACGTTGTATAACAATTGAATTGATGTTTATTATTAGAGTTGAGTCTGAAGATACAAATTTCTCGATCAATTGTGCATAGAGTATCTTCCAAAGTTGCTTTGTCATCACATGTAATCGTCGATTAATTAAAGCAGCGCAGACAATACGTACCTACCTAGTTGAATGATTAAAGCGGCGCGAGATAATATGTAATCTTAGATACCCGTGGACCTATTTGCAATTCTGAACACAAACAAAACATTGATAACTGATTAGATGTCAATGTCAATGTCAATGTCAATCAACATCAACATCAACATTAAGGTTATCATATCATATCATATCACCAATCATTATCTTTCCACTCATACTTGCCGCAATAATGATTCCCATTATAGGGAAGGAGCTCTCTAATATGGTAATACCGTCTAAACTCACGTACAAGAACGAACACTAAACCCTTTTCAATCCCTAACATTGCGGAGGCGAGGGAAAAGTGGATAGAAAAATTATCCATTTAAATGAATTTGCGATTCATCTTTGATGATTCTTCCAATTATATACTCTGTTTAGCTAACACGCCTAACCACCCAGAGCCAAATCAATCAGGCTTAGTGTGAGTTCTTGTATATGAGTTTAGACGGTAGGATAATATTCCCTAGTCTAATCTAGCTTAGACCTCTACTCCGTAGAATCTAGATTAATGAATGGAACGCCAAAGTGGGGGTTGAGTTGCTCGTGTGCCCCTTGTGCCCTGCCCTAGAAGATCTGCATACCGGTATGGTTAAAATGTTATTTAACACCGCCATTCCCTTTCAATATAATTAGTATATACCTATCCATTTGGTATGAGATATGGCGCGAAGTATATCTCAGAGTGATCATATATCTCACAGTGATCCTATATCTCGGAATGATCATATATCACAAAACGATGGCGTTGAGCCCGAAAAAGTTTCCATGGAGAATGAGAATGCTGTGCGTGAGAATGGTTTATTGGAGGAGGAGGCAATTGAATCAGCAGTTGTGAAGGTTCAGACTCGATTTTCGGAAAAGGGAGTAACAATTCGACAAGTAGCTCCTATGGTCATCACTTTGACGGGTGCTACATTTCTTGTTGTAGGTAACATCCACGTGGATTTTGGAAGGATGTCTAATATTTCTACAGACAATGGCCGCCCAAGCAATCATTATTATCCTACCTGAAATCTCTCGGGACCTCGATATTCCTCAGGCTCGGCAGCAATGGGTGGTATCTTCTTATGCGTTGACTTCTGGCTCATTCCTGCTCCTGTGGGGCAAACTTGGAGATGTTTATGGTAGAAAATTGCTGTTTATCCTGGGTGCGGCTTTCACGGCTGCCATTTGCATTGGGACGGCGTTCTCTCCTGTCGAGGTTTGCTTATATGTGATGCGGGCTTTGCATGGACTTGCCTCCGCTGCTACTATCCCCACGGCAATTGGTATCATAGGACATACCATTCCACCCGGAAGAATAAAAAACTACAGCTTCGCATTCTACTCTGGCGGTGCCCCAATGGGACAAGTTTTGGGAAATCTCATGGTACGTGTCCCTGTCCCTTCCGGAATCCATTGAAACTTCTAAATCATTATTCAGGGTGGAATTATCTCTCAATGGGCGAGTTGGAAAGTCATCTTCTTTGTGATAGCTGGTGCTTCACTTACTATCGCTGCCAGCGCAATATTTGTGCTTCCAAAAGACCCACCTAGAGGCAATGATGAAGATACAATTCGCGCTTCGGGTGTTGACTGGATTGGTGCTTTCCTATTTACTGCGGGTTTACTTTTATTACTCGTCGGCTTATCAGAAGGAGGATCATCGGGGTGGGAAAATGCTTCTGTCATTTCCATCATAGTCATCTCTGGATGTTTGCTCATAGGGTTTGTGATCTGGGAACATTATCGCGAGACGAAAACCACTAAAGAACCATTGATGAGAGTGTCGACTTTTGGTCACAAGCAATTCTCCATTGCCATGATTATTATCACTCTTTTCTCGGCTGGCTTTACCAATTTCTTACTTTATACCACTTACTAGTAAGTCATAAATCTCATTCCGTAATAACAGGGCTGATTCAAGTATAGCTACCAAGATTTTCAACTTCTTGATCCTATACAAACTGCTCTCCGGTACATTCCGCTAGGCATTGTTGGTAGTATGTTACCCATATCTCCCTAAATGAACAAAAATTCTGACAACTCTATAGTTCTTACAACTTTTGTATCTGGATACCTACTCGCTCGCATCAATGGCAATTATATCCTCAGTTTCGGCCTTGGCTCCGCAATGATTGCTAACCTTCTATTTGCCGTCCCAATACCTCCCAGTACATCATACTTCGCTTTCGGCTTGCCAGCAATGGCCCTTGCTGCATTCGGTGCCGATACCGTCTACCCATGTCTTGGTTTATTCACAACTCAATCACTTCCTCGTAAGGATCAATCAGTGGCAGGAGCCATGTTCCAAACCATGGGAGCCATTGGACGAGCTCTGCCATTACCCATTACATCGGCAATTCAGCAGTCTGTACAATCAAAAGAATTGAAGCAAGGGAAAGATCAGATGCTAGCATTTTTGCACGGACTGAGGGCCGTGGAATGGTTTTGTGTGGGCTGTATGGCGGCATCTTTGGCTTTAACTATTGTCGGGCTCAGAAACATTGGAAAGATTGGAATGTTAAAGAAGTTAGGAACGGTACAGCCGAAACCCGAAGAAATCCAGGAGAGGAAGGACGGTGAGGTATAAACATTTATTTTTCGAACCGCCGATTTATACACTCGCGGAGCTCTGTATACATACGACGATATATATCCATATTATTTTTTAATTCTTATTATTATTTATCTGCCTGGTTTTCATCGTATATCTTCTCAAAATTTGGCCTATTCACAATCATTATTACAACGAACTACCCTATGTTTTAGACAACTTGTCAGGAATCAGGATATGATACCTACCATTTTGGCGAGGGGCTTAACTCCGAATATAAAGCGGTCTATCTATCTCCGAAACATCTCCTGAACCCCACAACCACAAAAAATCTTTGCAAAAAAAAAGATACGAAATTATACCGCCAAAGAAATTCAGAAAGTTATGCAACCGCGGTCAGAAATAGATAGAAGAAGATCCATGGATATGTTCGAAAGGCAAAGATTTGAGAGCTTATGAATTCCGATATCCGAACTTCTAAGAAATGCATCACCCACCGCCAACCTTTCTCCCCTCTATCAACATATTTATTACCAGCCTTTTACAAAAGCAAAAGACAAAAGAATTGGAGCGGCAGGGAGTCGAACCCTGGACTTCATCGAACTCTATCAACTGATCCTTTTCAAGATGTTGATATTGCAAACGAGGCACTCTACCACTGAGTTACAGCCCCTGATAGTTGTTATTGTTGAAGAATGAGGATTTAATTTGATATATATAGACTAGCATCATACCCACTAAAGAGGGTCCAGAAAGGTTGGCGTCTGAAAGGACCCGCATAGAGGGGTAGTATCCACTATCTTTCTCATCTGTCCTGGGGCTTCCAAGTACCTCAACTGCTTGTCGAAGTGAACCATCTATGGAAACCATCGCATCTTATTCTCCTCTCAGGTACTGGTTCCATCACATCGTTTTCCGGCCCACTTTCGCAGAGCTAGTGGCATTCACTTCGCCGTCACCAGCAATATACATCATACCCTTCGTCATCTTTGACCTTTCCTCCACGGCTCCCAACACGCCAGGAAATTAGGTCCCATCACCAGCAATTATCGGGTTTGTCGAAAGTCAATATCCGCGGAACCATCGTCTTCGATATGTTTATTCTCAAAATTGCTAGCAGGAGACTATGGTCTTAAGCATGAAGTCTCTTTGAGATCATAATGGTTGTTCTATGTTCAGTCATCGACAATTTAGAAGTTGCTACGCCGGTCCAACCTCCAACCCGACTCGTTGTCTGCACTCTTGGTTGTACACTAGATGTATAATCTGTCTCTGATTGCGTTGCATGACTCGACAATATCTCTCGTACGGCATGATGTTGTGCTTGTTGCTGTTTAGCAGACCAAATAATGTTAGTTGACAATCATCCTTTTCAATTAATAGTAAGTGCCAGACCAAAATCTCTCAAAACATCCATAGCACATAAGAGATGGGTGTTTATGATTTTCCTGGTTGCTCTAGGAGATTTGCATTTACGGACTAGGTAGGACTTGTGGTGAATTAGTTATCCCAAAGCTAATATGTTTGGATAACAACTGGGCCATCTAACAATTTGTACTCACACATCTGATATGATGGGCTGACAAGATTAAAAGAATCCTTTCAAAATCTCAGTTTCAACTTTGACTTCGACTTCCACACTGTCAGCCATTTAATCAAGCTTAGAGGTCTGGTTGGGGAAAATGGGGAGATTAGGATGAAAGTTCATCAGTGAAGGATTTCAATATATTTTTTACTTGAGCAATGCCAGTAACATTGAAAGTCTATTATCAAACTATTCGTGCTTTTGCATTCTTAATCTTTCAAACGCACTCAAATATTTGCAATTCCACCAGCAAGTGCTACTCCATGCATATTGGAATTTACGGACTAGAAAGTTAAGTAAGTAGAGCCACTCGCCTTCGGGGACCATGCAAACTTTGAACCATGACACAACTTTTACCTCGCATTTGAGTTAGGGTGTCCAGACTTAGTATTTTGAATCAAATTTGAATCGATCAAAGTATTTACATAATTTTTTAAAATAATGTAATAAATCTGTGTAATGATTAGGTGATCTCAGATATTTCTTTATGACTAAAAGGTCTATTATAAGTTGTAATCTCTTAACTATTCCTATCCACCCTAACTCTAAGTGGTTGAGACTAAAGTATTATCTATTTTTCGAATTCTAGCATTGAGGCACTGCCATCGGATTGTTTCAACATGATGATAGGTACTAATCATTAGTACATTGGCAATTGAAATTTGAACATTCGAGTTAGTGAAATAGAGGAATTGGGATAGAAATTCATTAATATAGCATTCCCAAGTGGATATTTAACTGTCGTTTTACTTCAATAGAATGAATACAAGTGTATTATATCTTTCTTGGATCTTAAGATTCAAACTCTGATATCTGATTATTCTAGAACCAATACTATTAGCGCAAAATTCAAACCTAAACATTCGAATTATGAAAGTTCAAAAATTAGAATGAGAGTTTATTAGTAAAGCATTTCGATATTGATTAAAGAGACTAGCATATTATTATATACTGTTGATAGTTCTTGACTTCTTTATCGGATCTATATATTTTTGACTATTCTCTGACTTGTAGGATTTTATAGCAGCAATAGCTCATATAGAAATGTATTTGTCGAGGCTATTGATCGGTTCTCAACCAGTGCACACCGCCAACTACCTATATAAACGAAAAAGACCTACTTACATCATCACCCAAAATATCAGTAAAATAAAGTACCTTTTACCGTAGTGTATAAAACAATCATATGTCTAAAACTTGCCAACTTTGTAAGTTATAAAGTTAGTGTAGTATCCAAGACGGGTCACTGTCTTGTAACCCCGGCAATTTTCAATTCCTGGGTGTTCGGTTGATTAGTAGATCAAGTGTGGACATTGGAAGTGGCAATATAAGCGATTTTGATGTGAGGGGAGGTTGGAAGCACTTTTAAAACAACTAAAAAAATCGCTAGACGCGAAAACGCGAACCCACGTGATACCGCTACCCCTACTCCTCTTCCGAAATTACAGAACCCTCATCCTCTGCTTCATCCTCATCCTCACCCTCACCCTCTCTCTCTTCCTCATTCTCTTCCTCTGCGGCAGAGGCAACGTAAGCAGCAGCTACAGCTACAGCAGCAGCGGCAGCGGCAGCGACAATGGCGGCATCGGAGTCAGCCGCGCGCTGGTTCAAAATCAAAAGGTCCCGAAGTCCCTTTTTTGACCGGCTCCAGCGGGAATTGTAGGAGCGCGGAGTGTTTATATTGCCATAAAGGCGATTCCAAACCCCATCTGCCTTTGAATAGGCCAGCAACATTCTCCAGTACCCTGGGACATGGCGACTGAGAGTCGTGATGTCGTAGGCCGTAGCCGCAGTCGGTAAAATTGTTTCATGGATGCGCATGGTCTCGGCTTGGACTGTAAAATAGACTAATTAGCGTCCTGCTTTTGGTAGACTATAGATCAGAACCAAAGGTCTACTTACATTGTAGGATACCTACATATTGCATCCTCTGTGCAGCTCCCAAAAAGTTGAGAGTGCCGATGGGGGGGTAGGCTCCCGGGCCGTAGTGCTGTTGGCCGAACCAACTGTTGTAGTCCCGAGGAACTACTGGAGCAGACATGCTGCGGTAAAAAGAAGAAGAAGGGTTGGTAGGTGGTGGTGATGGTGGAAAGTATGAGACTGGGGCGCCAGTACACCCAGTAGTTATCTTTGGCGAGGTTTCAATTGTAGGTATTTGGTCTAAAAAACCAGAAAAAGGCAGAGAAGTTCTATTTGATCGAGATAGGGATTCTAATATGATGACAGTTGTGTAAAGAATCTTGGTTGAGATCGAAGAGAGCTCGGAAAATGCTAATTGGCAAGTTATGAGGCTATTCCGACGTTTTCTTCCTCGATTTTCGAGGCCTTTATGATGGTTGTGGAAGAAATCAAAAGTAGGTATTTACAGTATGCAGGATATTCTCTATCGACGCGACTCGGAGACGCGAAAGATGTTAACCTATCATAGGACTTGTTTATGCCATATGTGTTTATATAGTTTGGTTTAATATACCAAATAAAATAAGATTAGGATTAGGCGGTGTCGATAACCAGTCTCTATCGAGTAACGGAATATATATTTTACATTTAACCTACTCTCCCATCATTATATGCCCCTCTACAAAGAACAGAAGATGAAGAAAGAAAGGAAGGACTGTTAAGTTGAGAAAAAATACTATTCTAATTAGGTCATTACAGCTACGTAAGTAAATGAGAAAACTGTTTGTGTACAAGACTGATCATTGATCAATCAGATATAGAATAAACACAACTTGACGAGAATGATTTTATCCTAATTTATCACTGTACTAGCAATAAAGCTGTCAACTGATAGAGCAGGAGAGATGAAACAAACAAATCGATAAAATCTGATGAATCACTAGGTACAATAGCTCAGCTCAGATGGCAAAACCAGCATTCTCCACTCAGACACACACAATGGAAGAGCCAACCGAACAAAATATTTGTTTATAATACAAGAACCAGTCTGACAGTGTTTATTGAGCTTTAGAGGCAACAATGGAGGAAAATACGATTATCCAAACTACCATCCACAATGGAAACAACCAGAAAGCAATTATACACAACACACAAGCTAGTTTGGGAGTTCCCAAACAATGCCCAACAAAATAAACAATAGCAAGCAGTCAAGATGTGGGGCATCGGGTCATCTAGTCAAGGACAAGTACTCATGAAACTTTCGTGGCCTACGAACAGATTGGATGATACAAACGGCTGCCGAGAAAGAAGATTGAGAAAGGCTATCATCTTGCCTCATAGGAAACCTCTACAAACTTGAAGTGTGCCACAATTCAAACCTCTACGATCTTACTCTTACATATTAGCTCTCTCAAATGAATCACTCCCGCGTTCTGATGCGACCCGGGAACTGGACCTGGACACCCTGCACCCACCGCCGCCAAGTACGAGTCAAACGCGCCATAACAGTTACATCGAGGGACTGTGGACCAGCTAATAGCCTTCGATTACCTGATGCTCTAGACACAATCTGCGGGCAAGCTTAGACCTATGATACCGCCAGTGATACCAATCACATGGATCAAGACGACCTTGAAACTTAAGCTAGGCAGGAACGAGAATTTCTCAAGCCAGAATTTCTGGGAAGGTGTCTAATGCCATCACTGAACACCACGCACGTCTAATTGGGCCAGAAACATCAACAACTGGGAGAGAATTCCGCGTCTAATCGTCAGCATCGATATTGAGAGTTACGGATAACTTAGGAATTATGCACGGTGTGGTAAAGTCTCCGAATGACGAGCAAAGGAGCCAGAGGATGTAAGTTCCAGCAAACTTGCCACTAAGGTGAGCATCTGCAAGTGGAAGAGTTCCAGATGAATTTCTTCTATTTTCAGATTAAGATGACTTGTCGATTCAATAGAAATATGAACTGACTTTTATGGATAGTAGCAGCACCCTTCCTTTATTCGAGTTAAATACAAACAACCACGATATCCAAAAGCCCAATGTCGATTTCCCCATGGAGGAAAGCATTGCTACTCTGTCAATATCAATTTTCGAAATACAAAACGCTATCCCGATTGATAAATGACCGCCACTACATTGATCTCGACCAACACCTACTCTTCCTTCCCCAAAAACTACTC